GCACCAACTAGGCGAATAATATGCGACGTTTGTATTTCGCATAATAAAAGATCGAACAGAAATCCCTACACTACTTCTTTTACAGTCGCTTCAACCCCAACCGATTACAAAGTTAAAAAAAATCGAAGGACCAGCCTAACAAAAGCTAGGACGAGGGAGCCGACGAGCTACCACAGCAGTCAGACTCCAGAAAGAGGAGATGTAGGTGGAGCTTGTTTGTGGAGTTCCAGGTAGAAATTCAGCATGAGATCGGCCGCGACCACCACGCTCTGAACCGATGGGCTCTGACGGGTTCTGGGAAGAGATCCCCGTCGACCAAACACCTTCCTCTGTCAGGAAAACCTGGCCGACCACAACCTCGGGAGGTTGAGGCCAACATTGTCTCTGACAGAGGACCGGGCCATTGCGCCCCGGCCGCTGACGCGCGCTGTTCCGACCTTCAACCTTCTCACAGTTGATCCGACAATACACGGGCCCGAAGGTTTGATTTTCATCGTCGCTGTCTCGGCATATATGTTCCCTGCGGGGGCCACGTTAATAAAGTTGGATAGCGGAATTTCCGCTCTTTGAATTTTTTTCTCCGACGAATTCAGAAGGTTAGGGTTCTCAATTCGGACACAATAATCTTAAAGTATTGCCTCACGGGTTGAAAGAAATTTTTTTTTGTAATTCTGGTTTATCTCCAGCGAACTGCTTCTCATATACAAGAAAAGAGAAAAACGGAGGGCCATTAACAAAGAGTTCTAGGGGACGGATGGGTAGAAAGAGAAGTGGCATGATATGGATCGAAGATTACACACTTTATTTAGATAGATGAAACGATTCGCGTGCATGCTTTTACTTCCCAGGCGTTTCAAAAAGTGGATAAGACGCCTCGAAATCGACCGTAAGTTCTAACTGCCAGCGGTTTCTAAACCATTCAAAAATTTAAATTTTAAAAATATTATACCGTTCCCACTGTCAGCGGTTTCAAATAATTAAATTTTACAAAAATTATTATGCACCAACTCTGCGAATAATATGTGACACTTGTATGTCGTAGTTGTGTCGCAGAATAATTTTTTCGACTAATAGTTGTATGTATGCGGCATTTATAATACCTGAAAGAAAAAAAAATAAACTAAATTAAACGATGAAAGATGAAAGAAATAAAAAAATATAAACTTTCGAGTAGAAGCGCGAAGGGGATATACGAGCAATATGCGGCAATTCTCATACCCCATCGCATAACTGAAATAACTGAAACATGAAAGAAATAAAAAATAAACTTTCGAGTAGAAGTGCGAAGGTGGTATGCGAGCAATATGCGGCAATTCGCATACCCCATCGCATAACTGAAATAACTGAAAATGAAAGAAATAAAAAATAAATAAAAAATACACTTTCGAGTAGAAGTGCGAAGGGGGTATGCGAGCAATATGCGGCAATTTGCATACCCCCTCGCACAACTGAAAGATGAAAGAAATACGAAAAAAAACTTATTATGCACTAATTCTACGAATAATATGCGACGTTGGTATGTCGCAGAATAATTTTTCGACTAATAGTCGCAGTTCATTCGCCTAACAAAAATAATTATTTAATGGGCGACGGACCGCGATTGACCGAATCGTATATCGAATCTCTGCATATTCGTCGCAGACCAGTCGCATAATTTAACTCATAATTTTCTCGCACATGCTCATACCGGTCGTCTATCTATCGTATAGTTTTTCGCATATCTCTTCGTATTTTCTGGGGTGAAAAACTTAACTTTTTATTGGGCGGTGTGAAAAACTTAGCAGAACTTCAAAATGGGGATAAAATAGCTATTTTCACTATATTATATTACCAAGCTAGCACTCGTTCATTGCATTATTATTATGCCGGAATTTATCCACCTGCAGGGTTTAGCATAACAATCCTTCATGAACTCACTTCGGGGACATCATCAAACCACTCATGGTCACTGTAAATATCCTAATAGCACATTCTACATACAACAATATTGCTCAAGACAGTAAGATTAGTGATCTAGCAAACTGAACCTCTCCTAAGTGAATCAAAGTAATAAGTATTGCATGTATATGTCTGTTTAATATCTTACGGGTTGAGAGAACGCAATAATTAACTGAGACCTAGTTCGTTTCGACGATCAGTATAAAACGACTCTCTAGGATCCGTTCAATACATAATTGTACTAGTGTGACTAATCAGTCAAGATAAACTGTACCGTTGACACTACAGCCGTCCCAATGGGGTGTTCATTTCCATCTAGGTTGTGAACCAGTAATTCTTGTTTCGCAAGTGACTAATAAAATGATCTACTGTCCATCCGTGATGAACCATCTTATTTAAGTGCAAAAAAACAGAACATAGAACTTTTTTAAACGAACATGATTCTCATTCATGAAGGGTAGATGTGTAATATTACCTAAAGCCAAGCTTTCATTATATAACACCAACATTAATCCACATGCAGGGTTTAGCATAACAATCATTCATTACCTCACTTCGAGGACATCATCAAACTAACGCACATGGTGATCGTAAATATCATAACAACACATCCTACATACAACAATATTATCCGAGACAGTAAGACTATTGATCCAACGAACTGAACCTCACCCAAGTGAATCTAAGTGTTGCATGTATATGTTTGTTTAATATCTTACGGGTTAAGAGAACGTAATAATTAACCGAGGCCTAGTTCGATTACAATGATCAGTATAAAATGAACTTCTCCTCTCTGAAATTCATTCAATACATAAATGTAGTAATGTAACTAATCAGTCAAGACCAACTGTACCGTTGACACTACAACCGTTCTGATGGGGTGTTCATTTTCATCTAGGTTGTGAACCATAAATTCTTGTTTTGCAAGTCACCGATAAAATGATCTTCTGTTCACCCGCTAATGAACCATCTTATCTAAGTGCAAAACAACAGAAAATAGAACTTGTTTAATCGAACATGATTTTCATTCATAAAGGGCAGAAGTGTAATATCATCTAAAACCAAGCTTTCAGTATATAACACCAACAATGGGGGCATGATTAGGGATCATACTGGATCTCTCATTGCCGCCTTCCACGCCCCTCTTTAAGCGTCCTCGAGTTATGACGCGGAGGTTTAGTGGCTTTAGACCGTGTCTTCAGATGGTTTCCTTTATCTCGAATCACATTTGCATAAAGTTGGACGCTGATGCTGCCGCCACCCTCTTGACCTCAGGCCATCACGCCTCGTGGCAAATTCAGCATCCACTCATACACATCAGAGCCACACTTCAGTCTGTTCACTACCAGATCTCGCACATCTTCCGCGAGGGGACCCAATCTGCTGACTTTCTCATCGTTCAGAGTTGGGTAGTCGTTTTGTATTTTTTTGTGCTTCAGCCCACTCGTGGTGTAGACTAGCTCCATTCGGACTAGACTCAAATTTTTTCGTTTTGGTTGTTGTTTTTTTAATTGTTTGTTTATGTTATTATTTTTGTTTTTTTTATTTGGACGAGTAGACTCGTAATTGTTCATCTCATTCAGGTCTTGACTATATACAAGTTGATGGTCCGACCTTAACTCGTATTTAAGATGTTTTCTTTTCTTAAAAAAAAAAAAATGTGAATGAAACCCGCGGTTACCGTCATGTTGTTGGCCACCTCTAGGCGTGATGGATCATCGTGTGAAGGGCATTGGAATTTGGAATACACAGATCACACACTTTCTCTCTTTCTCCATTACTCCATCGTTCACTAAACAGGTCTTTTAATTCGGTCGGCATTCAAAAAAGGTAAAATATGCTATTTTTATTACTAATATAGAGTGTGATTGTTATCATTTCCGGAATAAAGCTGCATTCTTTATTGGAAATGGGGACGTCTAGATTTTTGCTACACGCCCTCTATTCATAATCATACATACATCTTTATAATTTGGATTTGATGCTCACCGTTGACCGCATTTCTGAAAAAATCAGCAGGTTAATCCTTTCTCCTCTTCCTCCTCATCACATCACTGTTTTTTTCATACTTGCTTTCCAACAGTCTTATTCTGTGATAGATTTTGATGGTGTTGGAATTACGGTAATTGACATTAGTAATTGATGGGCTGCACTTTACAGATTATAACATTATATATATATATATATATGTGTGTGTGTGGTGAACATGGAATTTGGGTTTGCGTTATAGATTCAGGCTTGCTTTACCTTCTGGTGGATCTATTCAGCTATGTTATGTATGAGCAAGTCAACTAAAACTACCCGTCGATTTTTTCTTACAAACTTTGAATAATTTGTCTGCTTTTCCTCCATTGACGCTGCTGGTTGTAAGATAGCTTTTTGTTCTCTGTGTTTAATTGTTAATTGCGGTTAAATTGAAGATCTGGTAGGTATTCGTTTTTCTCTCTCTCTCTCTCTCTCTCTCTCTCTCTCTCTCTCTCTCTCTCTCTCTCTCTGTCTTGAAGAACTAGTATAAATATATCACCTTTTAATTACTATTTTGAAACTTCTCTCTTGTTTCCCAACGGTACCTTGATATGTTGATATGTTTTTTTCAACTTTTAGTGATAGAATAGCAAATCTGTTACTCTTGTTTTTGAATTGGTTTCCAATAAATAAGTCTGAATGGGGAAATGGGGAAACTGTACATCTCTTGGACGCTTTGGCTCAACCCTTAAAGATGAGTACCGATCAATTCATGGAGAAATGTTGTAGTCCTCTGCAAGCACAGTCGTAAAATACACAGTTTTTATCTCTCAACCGGATGATTTCTTGTTGAATTGACGTGCTCCATCATTGTTACTGCTATTAGATTTTCCTAATACTGTACTCATGATTACAATTTCCTTTTTGCATTATTATCTTTTCTGGATTTTCCAGTCTTTCCTTATATCATATGAGATGACTTGATCCCATTCTAATAATGTATCTTTTTCGCAGTTGTTATAAGGCCTAATTTTCAGGATCTTGCTACCATGGCAAGTAATAATATCTCTTCAATCTGCTACTCATGCTGTTTGGAAATGGATGACATCTTTTCTCGTCTCTTGAGCCTAACTTCCTATATAACACATCGAGTATTTGAATTCTTTGGTGAGCTCTTAACTGCCGTATGATGTTACCCTTATAATCTCCTACACATGGCATATGTTTCTATTAAACGTTTTTATCAGATCTTATTTGTTTCTTGGCAAATTCTTTTATCGCAGAAGATCTTGTATTAAGAGATGTGAGTAGGTTTTTGAGAGATTCAGAGATAAATTCTTGTGGACGACTTTTAACATCTGCAAACTTCAGCACTCACAAGCTCTCTTCTCTAGATTTTGCATCTTCTTCAACAGATAGTAACTCCATCTCAAGCTCTGACTTGCTTGAAAGGCATGCCTTGGACTTGGAGGAGCAACCATTTCTTAGTTCAGGATTACAAATTGCAAAGAGAAATTACTGTAGGGGTGTCCTCTTCATTTTTAAAGGGTAAAGTTAATGCATTTGGAGCTTCTTTTAAAACCATTAATCATGATTTGTACTTTTTTTACATTAGCTGCCAGTTTAAATGTTACCTTATTGATTAAAAGTGCTGTTATATACCACGATTTTAGATTGATGCTCCCAATACTTTGTTTTGAATTCGCTTGGAGATCAGCGATAGCATCTTGGAGATATTTTTGTTGTCAATTGAGATGCATACAAGATCGCATACAGAGGTGAAGGACTGTCCGTTTATTCTAAAAGTACCTTATTTCTTCCTTTCTTTTTCGGTTAAATGTTTGTAACCTTCATTTGAAATTCTTCAGAGTTGCAGATCGAGTTCTGAAAACTTTGCATGGATCTTCCGACGACATTGGGTGGTTGCAATGCACTCCTGGAATGGCCCCAGTAGTGGATGGTTCAGCTAGATTCCTGGATCTGCTGCAAAGCATTAGGTATGTCGTCTCCATATGTGAATTCAGAATGCGCTAAGCATAAATAAGTCTAGCATGGCTCGAAAGCTTATTTGACATGAATCTGCAAGATTGGTTTTGTCAGTTACGCTTGAGAATTACCATAAACTATATTTTATAAATTAGAATATACTACATTTATATACACTAACGTATATTTCAGTCAAAAAAATTTATAAAGTTAATGATACTTGAAAAATTAGTAGATTAGAGAGACCGATTCTATAAACAAAAAATATAATTAGAATACAATGAAGTTTGGATTTTTTTATTTTATTTTATTTTTTTTGAAAATTCAAAATCAAGTTAATGCAATTGCAGATAATATTTTCTTAAACATTTATTAATTTATAAAATGTGATTAAAAAGTTATCATCTTTGACAGACTGGGTGTGAAGCACGAATATCTTTTTAAATAATTATCTCTTTATTCGTTATTGTATAGTTCATTGTACACGGATATCGTACTAGTTCCCATTAGAATTTTCGTTTGTCATTAGAATTGTCATTGAAATTATGTTGTAATATGTTTTCATTGAAATTTCCATCGGAATTTCATATTTTCTTGTGGTAATAGTAGGGCTCCAAATCAATGAAAAAAGTTCATTATATATAATATTGTGTGCAACTAATTATTATGAAAATTGTTAATAATGACTCAAAATATAAGACATTCAATGTAAATATCACTTACCTTATCATAACAGTAATTTGTTCAAAATAAATAAGATACATTTTGGTTGTAAAGTCCTTAATTATTTTAACAATCAAGGGGTGAAGAATCTAGGGTTATTAAAATGATCTACGTAACAAAAAGGTAAGACTATACGATGAGAAATTTTATAACTCACATTCAATACAAAAGTAGAAAAAATGCTAAAATTAATTAATGTTTTATATTAGTTGGAGTTGGCAAATGAGAATTATAAAGCATACTTAAGCTGCACATTTATTTTAACTAGAATTTTCAAGTAAATGAAATATATGTTTATATTTTTCTGCATAAAAAAATTGGTATGTTAGTCTTAATTTTTGTAGAAATTTAGTAACTTTCTACCGTTAAATTTTTCAATTTTGAAATACTTAATTTTTTTTATTTGTTAGTGTTTTTATACGTGATATATTACATCACTTCCTTTCCAATTTGTTTGATTTGACCAATGTATTGTAAAATTGATGTAAACATACAACTATTACCAAAATTAACTATGTGAATTAAAAGGAGAAAATAAATGAGTTGTGTGTCAAACAATTATTCAATTCAATTATTGCTTGAAATTGTACACCATAATACTTGTAACATATATTTTTTTGTGAATATGAATATGAGTTAGTTACTTAATATTTTACCAAACATTGAGAAAAAAAAATCTTAAACTTTTTAACCTTATAAGTAATATAAAAGTACATTTTTATCAAATATATTATTACTACAAATAAATAAATAAGTAATATTAAGTAGAATTTTATCATATGTGATTATAGTAGTTATAGCTTAATAAATAAAATATTTTGATAAAAAATTCAATATATAAGACACGAACAAAAAAATGACGCAATACATATAAATGTTCTCTAATACGTTCAACCAATAACATATTATTTGGATATAAAATGAGAAACAAATAAAAATACGTAATGCAATGGAGAAAAGAAAAAGAGAAGTATGAATATCAATATCTAGAATTTAAAATTACTATTTTTTGTTGCTAGTGTTAAAATATAGGGACTCTATAAAAGTTTGTTCTCATAAATAATGATCCTATATTATCATTTTTGAAATTTAAATAATTAAAAAAAATTTAACTTTGTAATACATAATGTAGATTTAAAGAATAAGTTTGTAATACTAAAGTTCACAGATGACTAAGAGTATCATAATATAGTAGAATTTTAATTCTTCTCTTCTCAAATATTTTCACAAATGATATGCTTTTCAATATTATCTCATTGTTTTGTTTTGTTTTGTTTTATCATTGTTGAAAAATATCTTGAATTTTCGGAACGTTATATATGATGCAAAAAGTTGATTAATAAAAGCATTAAAGAAGTTATTAAACACATAAATCTTGCAAGTCCAAATGTATGTGAAAGATATGATAAACAACTCTAAATTCATTGTAACAACCAAGATGGTTAACGATTTGCAAACACTATATATTGTATTCCGTCAATTTTCCAAATACATAACTTTGAAAATAGAATGCGGAGTGATGAAAATATTTTTGAATGTTTGAATGGAATATTTACAATCTCATTGATGTAATGTGGTCGAACATATGTACAATTACTTTTGAATATATAATTTCATGTTTTCATCTAATGTGTGATGATTTAAAAAAAGAATTTCGAGCCTCGAGAGAAGTACATGTAACCAAAATTTTGAAAAGTCATGTTTTATTTGGAGATTAAATTCATTCTTTACCTATGGGACGATGCCTCCATGGAGTATGTAGAGTTATATGGAGAGAGAGTTATGCAGTAGTTTATACATACAATGATAAAAAATATAAAAAAATATCAACAATTTTAGTGACATGGTTGATTCTTTCACAGAGATATTTATGTGTTTGACTATATGTTTGGCCATAATATTTATGTGTTTGAATAAAGTAGGCGTTTTGCTAACTGAATTAAGAAGAATTTTGCAATACTATCGATGTATTGGGCTCCAATGGGGTATGAGTGTTTCTTATGAGAACGTCAAACCAAAATGAAAGAAAATTACTCTTGAATCGTCTAACATAAATAAATAAAACTAATAAATAAATAAAACTAATGAGTCCATAAAAATATGCTAGTTCAGCGTTTCTATATTATCACTGGGGACTCATTTTTTATATACTGGGGTTGTAATATGTTATTTCATTATTTTATATTAGCACATCATTATGTTATTAAAAAAAAATACATTAGAAGCTTTTTTGTTCTATATTTTATTTCGTTCCTGCCAGGATATATTTATCAAATTAATTAATTTATTTTACCAAACTTTGTCGGCAAAAAACAGCACGTGCACTACTAGTATAAGTAAAATATAAATATAAGGTGTAGCCTTGAAAGTTATTTAATGGGTTTTCCTCATCAATACCATTCGTAATGATGCCTTTTTGCAATTAACTACCTGGAACTGCTCTGTTGTCAGAAGTTTAACTGGGCTAGTGTAAAGGGAAGAAGTTTTTACTCACTGAAAATTTCTGTATAAACAATAATCTTGAGAGGTTTGCATTAGGAACTCGAGAACGGTGCATGATTTCCGTCACTATTAGTGTTTAAATTTCACATGCCTTGCTGTGTAATCATATGGCTAGATTTCAAGTGAAAATCTGTATGAGAACCGCTACTAGTTTGTGCCAGATTTACAACTAGCAGACATGTATAGACTAATCGTTACCTTAGCTCACCCTTGTTTTCTTACATAGTATCTGGTAGCTATTACACGCAATCTTCAGAGTTAATCATGTTCTGAAATCCAAAGCCTTAATATCCTGTCGTCATTAACAAATTAACGAACCCTTGACCAGTGTAGAAAAATTCTACTTCGACAACTAAAGCAGAAGTAGAAATGATAATAAATATCTCCCACAAAATAGGCTTATGAAATGCAATCATTGTTGTTGGGAAAGTAAATTACCCCAGATTAATTATTATTTCATTGGATGACCCTAGTCCATTATTTGTTTAGTTAATTAAATGTGCCAATTAATGTAATAAGACTATCTTTATGGGACCTTAAATAGAAGTGCAGTCTATCTTTTTGTGATGGATGGAGTAGCATATGTTAAGGAACAAATCATTATTGGTCTCAGCAAAAGGGAGAAGATGGGAACATGATGTGTAATGAATTGAATAGTAGTGACCTTACCTAGATTTTGAAGGTACATACTGATATGCTATTCCCTCTATAGATGCTTTCAGTTGACATGGTTACTTAATTTATTGTGGTCTCTCCTCTGAATTTAGATAGCATGTGTGAAAATGAAGATTCGAGGCATAAACAATTTCATTTATGCTAACCCATAGTTGATATAGAAAACTTTATCCTCATAGCCCCCAAGATAATAAAAATAAAATCAGATGACATGCATCTCTAAATATTGTATCCAGGAACGGGGTGCACGTGCTACCTGATTCATTTGTTTACTTGCTGATTCCAGGTTTAACAAATTCCACTGTCTTTCTTAAATTAACATCTGATGCTCAATGGATCTATATTGTCTGCTTATTCATTTTCCTCTAAATTTAATTTATTAGGACTCTTCAGCAATCATGGTCCCCTGTATTTTGTCAGCACAAAGAGATTTTTCTCAAAGATGGGGCTAGCCTGCCATATTGCAAAAATTCATAGTGAGGTACTCCTTTTCTGTGTATCCTAATTTGGGAACTGCCTCACTGGCTGTTTAATTTTCTGCCCTTTCAAATTGTATCTTATTTTTTACTACTTTTTATTATATCGTATTTCAATTCTTTACTTAGGCATCCGTGGAACACAATGCTTGGGAACTAAAGCAATATATAGAGGAATTATATTGGGGGTCTGGAAAGCGTGTGATGTTGCTGGGTCACAGCAAGGGTGGAGTCGATGCTGCAGCTGCTTTGTCAATTTATTCAGTTGAACTGAAAGATAAAGTTGCAGGATTGGCACTAGTGCAGAGTCCTTATGGTGGAACACCCATCGCATCTGATATTCTTCGTGAAGGCCAGGTTGCTGATAAGGAAACCCGGAGGATTATGGAGTTTTTGATATGCAAACTAATTAAGGTAATATTCTCTATGCCATTCGAAGAAAGGCTATGTATATCCTTCAGATGTTGGGGGAAAAAACAGGCATACATTATCTCAATATCATAGTAAGATCTTTCCTTTCTCCTGTGGGAAGACCTTGGAACTTATTCATGGTCTTTCTGCATTGTACTACTATGAGGAGTAAATGTTGTACAGTGTCAGTTTTTCATAAACACTTTAGTATTCAACTCGTGGTTTATCATGGTATTCAACTCGTGGTTTGTCATGAAGTATCAGTTAGTTACATGACCTCACTGTTAAAAAATTTCATCATTCCGCGTACCTAATATTTCCCATCGACTTATGACGACAAAGTTGTATGTCTTTCCCCACATAAATACCAAATATATTCTTTTTTTTTTTTTTTTGTTTTTGTGGATGGAAATTCAGAGTCAGGTTATGTTATTGCACTCTTAAATTTTATAGATAAATTATGTGAAAGAAGATAAACTGTGGTAATGTTTGTGGACGACAGTTCCTTCCGTATCCTTAGTATAATGGATACATTACATTCTATAAAGTAGTTGGTACTGATTTATGATTCTTTTTTCCTTTTTTTTTTTTTTTTTTT